GGTATGGCTTTGCCACATGCTGTGGCCCCGTGTCGGGCACGCAGCGAGGGGTGGCCGAGCCCTGGCGCAGATGTTTGCTGGGAAAAGGCTTTCGGCACCAGACTGAACATCTGGGTTGCCACGGGGCTTTGCTTTTAGCAGGGTAAAATGTCTCCTGGCTTAATGCTTTGCAGACGTAGCTGGTCGGTTTGATTTTTTTTTTTTATTTTTTCTCTCAAGAACTGACACCTTTAAAAGAAATCCCGCGTGTAGGCGGAGCCTCCCCGTGGCTTTTTGCTGCTTTATTCACCTGGTTTCTCAGAGGAGAGAATTCCCTCTTGGCAGAGGAGAAAACTAACATACCTGAATATATTAGGGCACTGCAGGGCTCGTTAATACCGTAATGTGGCTTCTAATTCATTCGTCTCTGGGTGGGGACAAGCCACGCTGGGCAACGTTCACTGTGCTCTGTTGGGCTTTTTTTTAGGCTTTTTTTTTTTCATTTTAAACCAGAGGTGGCTATTTTAAACTCTAGGTGCTATTAATTCCTCGGCAGCAACAAAGAGAGGCACAAAGCCGGGTGGTAATGGAGGTGTAACAGAGACGCGAGGCCGGTGTGGTCCCCGGAGGGGGAGAAGAGAGCGGGGAGCATCCCTGGGAGCATCCTTGGAAAGCTCCCCACGTGTGAAAATAACGGGTCTGACGGTCTGCTCCCTCGCCAACCGGGAGGCCGGAACGGATGGGGAGCGATGCCTTCATCTGGCCTTTTGACGGCGATCCATTCAGTCGCCGTCAGGCTGCACGTCGCTCACGTAGGGGCTGGAGAAGTCAAGTCTGGGTGGGCAGAGCCGGGCAGGGGGAGGGGGCTCGGCTGGAGGATGCTCGGGGAGGAAGAGGGGCTGCCGCTGCCTTCCTCCCTCCCATCGCTCCAGCTCGGCGGACCGGGGTGTGTGGAATTACGCCGTGCAGAACCCACGGCCCGTTCCACAGGCGTGTGCGCCATGTGCGGCGCGGGAACGCGCTCGCCGTGCGTCCGCGGAGGGGTCGGGGAATTGCGGTGGGAAGAAGGTGGGAAAGGGGAAGACTAATGCAGCATGTGCGGCGTGGGCTTGGGAGAACGGGGGAACGCTTCTTGTGAGGAGACGATAAAAATACCTGAAGTGGGGAGGCAGCTGTTTTAGCTAAGCTGTTATAGAAGCAAATTTCCTTCCCTTTTTTGTTCTTTTTTGTTCTTTCTTCCTTCCACCCACTCTGGTGAAGCGTGAGAGCACGTCGGCGCTGACTTTATAGCGGGTTAGAAGTGACACAGGTGACAAGCCACTTCTCAGTATCCCCACTGAGCCTTTCGAAAGTCGTCTCTGACCTTGACTTAACTGGAGTGATGTCGATAAGTAATGAATATGCATTGAAACCCCTGATAGCTTTCCAGCAGTGGTGAAAAGAAATGATGAATTAGGTCTTTGTGAAGCACTGGGAGCAGAACACTGGTTTTTGTTTCATCCCTGATGCAAGGTTTCCGGAGGCTTTTGTGATTTAGCTGAGTTTGGGCTCAGATTCCTGATAAAAAGTTGCACTCTCGATGCCCTTGCTGTTTAGGGAAGCGCTTCCCAGGTCTGTGAACAGATGCTTTTTCACCGTCTAAGGGGAACCTGGATCTTCCCTTTGGCAGCGAACTGAACTGGGGGGAGATTCTGCAAAGGCAGGTGTTTAACCTTCGGAGGTGGGATGTTTGCCCCAGCTCTGGGACTGTCTCAGCTGTCTGGAGCCAAAGGGTCATGAACATTACCCAGCATTGTCCCCGTCCTCTCCGAGAGCTGTAATTTTAATGGCCCCAAATCCTCTTGGCTCTGCTCTGTGAGATCATTTGTCCTCTGGCAGGTAGGGAAATGAGAAGTTTCTTTATTCAGGTATTCTTCCCCCACCCCCTCCCCTTATTTAATTGTGGTTCTTTTTTTTTGTGCAAAAAAAGGCTTGCACCCACAGGTTGGTTGGAGATGTGAGACTCTTAGAGGAAAAAAAAAAAATTTTCTGAATGTGTTGCACCGCTCCCTTGGTATCCTAGCGTGGAAAATTGGTGCTAGCTGCTGGAATCAGTGGGAGCTGGCCCGGGCTTTCTGAATTGCGGCCCTGGGGAGGCAGGTCACACAAAGGGAGCAGCGCAGCGCAGCTCCAGCCTGAGGAATGTGGAATATTTAAAACACAAAATTAAACGCAACGCCTATTTTAGGTGGTTTTCTCATGTCTTGACTGCTGAGTCAGCTTTGGTGGGACAGCCAGGCAGATGATGGGTGGCTCATCTCTGCCCTGCTGGGCACCGATGCCGTACCTCTTCCTTGTGGCCTTAATTTGGTTCCTTTAACTGTTGGGTGGTGTTTTTTTATTAGTAGGTGAAGGAAATCCCACATGCTTTGCACGCGCTTTGGATACCTCTTGGTTTGTTCGCCCAGATCTCCACTGAGAAAAAATCCACCCCATCATGCCCGGGGAGCCCCTCGCGTTGCTCTGTCACTCTGGTCCCCTCTGCCGGCTCCTGGGACAGGCAGGCAGGCAGAGCTCTCCGCCCAGACCGTAATTAAGCTGCTTTTTTACAGCTCTGCCACCAGCCACTCACTCCCTGCATTCCTTTCCCATGAGGTCTCACCGGGGCGGATTGAAGGGTGGGTGAGAAATCCCCCGGAGGGTCTCGCCTACCCTGCCTTTGCTGGGAGGGCTCTTGGCATGGCGTGTCACGCGCGTGAAAGGCGACCGGCTAATCAAAATTCCATTAGGCATCGTTAAGATCTTCCTTTCCTGTATTTAAAGCGCTTGGCTTTGTGTGTGCAGCACCATGTGAGAAGCAGTTCTGCAGGGCAAACCCTGGAGAGCAGCAGGGATGCTGCCACGGGAGAGGGATGCTGCCACGTTAACGTGGTCCATGGGGCGTGGGGTCCAGATGGGACCCAAACTGCATTCCCAGTCCTGCAACCTCAGCGATTTCCTCCAAACTGAACCAGGAATTTACTTTCTGAAGAATTTATGGGGGGAAAATCACCTGGGCAGCCTGGCAGGTGACTTGTCTGCATCTTGGCCATGTCAAGTGAATGTCAAGGGTGGATTAGAGACGAATTTCTCTTCCCTTGCCAAGTCATCACCAAGTGATGCTTCTGGATTGATTTCCAGCTGTTTGGCGTGGACCCTCTTTACAGCAACAACCCCCCCCACCAGCTTAAAACAGGTTTATGAGGAGTAAGTCACTCTTATCTACTTTTAAATGCTGGTGGTTCTGCAGTCCTCAGGCCCTGCTTTCTTCAGAAAAAACAGTTGGTTGCATTTGCGTGTGTGTCAGCTACAAAGCTAGCAGAGGTCTTTTGGAAGGTGCTCCCTGTGGGTGAAGATCTCAGCGCAGACCTGGTGTTTCAGCACAGCAGCCGTGCCTGAAGTGCGCTGCTGCGGGGGCTGGACCAAAGTCCTCGGCCGTTCTTCAGCTTTTCACAGAATTGGCCAAACTGCGGGAATGGGAGATTGGGTTTGCTTTGTGGTTTTTGTGTGGGGGGGTCTTTTTTTGTGGGGAAACTGAGGCAAAGAGGTCCTGCAGGGGCAGCTGTTGGTTCCTTGCCCACTTTGTAGCCAGCAGGATGTTCTCCTCTTGCCGTGGCTGTCAGGCTGTGACTCCTGTCCTCCCCAGATGGTTTGGGTGGCACCAGGGTGAATTTGGGTCAGCACGGCTTAGCTGGGGCAGTCGTGTCTCACCCATGCGCAGCTGCAGAGCCATCCACCATGCTCCCTGCTCTGACAAGTGCTCATTCAGCAGGTCCCATTGCAAAAATGAGTCCATGGATTCGCCTGTGTGAGGTTTTGGTTGTCCAGGCTAATAAGAGGGATGCACAGGAGATAATGCAGAGATGATGGTGTACGGGGAGCGGAGGTTTTGGGTTTCTTCTAGCTGCTGAAGGACTTGGAGGAAGGTTGGGTCAAGAAACATGTGCCTTGTAGGGTTGATGCAAGATGAGCTGGAGGATGAACGACTGCTCATGCTGTGCTTTCTCCTCCTCCTCGTAGCCTGTGGGCCGCAGCTTGCCAATTCCCCCACTGTGATAGTGATGGTTGGCCTCCCAGCCCGCGGGAAGACCTACATCTCCAAGAAGCTGACTCGCTACCTCAACTGGATCGGTGTCCCAACGAAAGGTGAGGGTTCCGCTGGCTGCCTGGGGAAATCATGAGGTCTGGCGTCCTCAGGGGTTGCTCTGGGAACTCACTGCCTTGGGGGGTGGGAGGTAGTGGGGGATCATTCCAAGATCCCATGGGCCAAATATCCATGTCCTCCTGTGGCTTCTGCTGCAGCCCAAGTTCTCCTTCACTTTGAAGACCAAGGGATGTCCCTGAGCCGGGACAAGGTCCTGTGCAGTCTGCTGTAGGTGACCCTGCTTCGGCAGGGGGGTTGGACTAGCTGACCCACAAAGGTCCCTTCCAACCTCTACCATTCTGTGATTGTGAGCCTTTTACTCTAAGGATGTCCATTGCTATAAAGCATTATCTGCAGGAGCTGTGCAGCTGAGTCAAGCTGTGCTGACACCTGCTTCTGGTTTTGATGGTCTTTGCCCTTCTTGCACAGTTTTCAACGTGGGGGAGTATCGCCGTGAGGCGGTGAAGCATTACAGCTCCTATGACTTCTTCCGCCCCGACAATGAGGAGGCCATGAAAGTCAGGAGGTGAGTGTGGGCACTGTGTCTGTGCTCAGATCCAGGTCCCAAGCGGGTGGTGAAGCCCATGGTGGTGGGGTTGCCCAGCTTGTTTTGGGGGGTGATGGACAGAAAAGTTGGGCTCTAGCTTAACGTTTCCCTGCCTGCCTAAGGAGGGACTGACTTGGGCATCAAGAGCTGAAAACTGAAGTTGTCAGGGCTTGGTGGCTTCAGGATCACCAACACATCGCTTTCAAGGCTCAGCGATGTAGGGTGTGAGGTCTGCCATGAGGTTTGGCCTTTTCTTCATCTACCACTGCCTCTGCTGTGTAGACCAGCATGCCGCTTGGCACGCATGGCTCTTGTATTTTTGTCCCACTGAGGGTGTCTTTCCTAAATGCCCCTGAGAGAAAGGGGGAGGTGGGAAGGAGGAGCTGCAAAGCCTGCCCTCCTTTGCTGGGGGTCTGCACACTGGCTGCTGTGAGCATCTCTGAGGACATCAGGACCACGCGTCTCTTGCCTCTTTTGCAGGCAATGTGCCCTGGCTGCCTTGAGGGATGTCAAGCTGTACCTGACGGAGGAGGCTGGCCAGATTGCGGTAAGCTCAGAGATGTGCTCCACGGGGTTTGGCAGCAGTCCTGCTCCTGAAGGTGCTGTGCCCTGGGCAGTTCGCTCTGTGGTTCCTTCTCTGAGGAAGGGCTCAGTGGGAAACCAGGCACTCTTGGGGCTAATCGAAGTCTTTGCTTTTAAAGGTTTTTGATGCCACCAATACCACGCGGGAGAGGAGAGGGATGATCTTAAACTTTGCCAAAGAAAATGGGTTCAAGGTTGGTACCGTCAGGCTGCTGCCTGTATTGCATGCTCCATGTCTTTTTTTTCTTTTAACTAACATGTTGTCCTTGTGATGCTCCTGCATAAGGGCAGTTTCACTGCTGGGTTTCATCAAAGCTATGAAATTCTTCCTTTGTTCCCAAGCCCTGGAGAAGGAAAGGATGGGAGTAGGGCAGGGGGAGAGCCCTCTGGGCAAGGAGAGAGGAGGTTGGGTTGAGCAAGGAGCTGGTTGAATGTTACAAACCTTATTGCTGGCCTTCAGGTGAGCTTTTTTTGCTTCACAGGTGTTCTTCATTGAATCTGTCTGCAATGATCCCACGGTTGTTGCCACCAATGTTATGGTAAGCACGGAAATGCAAGACTTTTGTTTTCCCTTGTGCAGGATTTTCCACCTCCACCCAGCCAGTTTCTTATCTGAATGTCTTCCCAGAATTGGTTGAGGATTAAGAGGGTTTTATCTTTTTATGATCTGTTTGTCCTGGAATGAGAAAGGAGCTTTTGTCTCTCAGGACCCAGGGCCACCTGGAAGCAATGAAAATAAAAGTTGTTGTAGCCTTTCCCCAGTTCCATTCTATGCTCTCTGCATTTCTGCTGATGTCTAACTTGATATCAAGGAGAGGAATGTATTCAGGATGCTTTGGTGATCCCCCAGAAATCCCACTTTTTTGAGAGTGATGGATGTAGTTAGGGATTTAAATCCCATCAGAGAGCAGTCAGACTTGCTGTCTTCAGCCACATGCAGCTGCCTGAAGTCTATTGGGGTCTGCTTAGAGAAGAACAGCAGCTCAGGTTAGAGATTTCTTGCCACTAGCTGAAATCTTGTCTGGGAGAACAGCATGAAACGCTGCTTCCCGTCTCCTTCAGGAGCTGCTGGATCTTTGATTTCCCACCAGCAGAAGAGCTCCTTTGCCCATTAAGCTTTGCTAGAGCAGGTAGATGTTACCCGGTCTACCTGGGCTTAATTAACTTGAATGAAAGTGTCCTTTCCTCCACTGGGCTCTGCTCCAGAATTATCTCCAGCTGTATGTCTGAACTTTGTGGTCCATTTTATGGTGTCTGGGAATCCGTTGCAGGATACTCAAAGCCTGTGAGTCTTCTTCCACGTAACTAGCGATAGGATGAGAGTCAATGGCCTCAAGTTGCATCAGGGGAGGTTTAGATTGGATATTAGGAAAAACTTCTGTACCAAAAGAGTGGTCAGACATTGGAACAGGCTGCTCAGGGCAGTGGTGGAGTCACTATCCCTGGAAGTGTTCAAAAAAGTTCAGAAAAGTGGCACTTCAGGACATGGTTTAGCAGGCACGGTGGCATTGGGTTGATGGTTGGACTTGATGATCTTAGAGATCTTTTCCAGCCTTAATGATTCTATGATTCTAAGGGTTTCGTTGGGTTTTGTTCTGCCCCCGGGATGGGTTCCACAAAGGGTGCTGGGGTGGGGGCTAGAGCATGGCTTTTGCTCCTGCTGGGAGCTGGTGTCCCGTGGCCAGTGATCAGCTTTTTGGGAGGCTGCACACAGCCTTTTCCGTGATGCTAATAAAATGGTCAGTTTGATCTATCTTTTTTCTTTTTTTTTTTTTTTGCCCCTCTTTACAGCACTCTGAAGTTGGATTTTTTTTGAGGATTTAATCCCTTTCTTTGGAAAATAGCACTTGAAGGGGGAGAAAATGAACTTATCGCTTGAGCATAGGTTTTTGCTCCACGGGGCACTGCAGATGAATGGTGCTCTTAGTGCTGGGTTCGGTGCGGAAAATACACTGCAGGCCTGGGATGCTGCTGTGCGTCGCTCGGTTGTGTTACCCTGTTGGTTTCAGGGTTGCTGGTGGAGTTACTAATGTGTAATGTTGCTGCTCAAACCCAGATCTTCAGAAAAAACAGCCTGTTAGAGTATCACAGAATCACAGAATGGTCAGAGTTGGAAGGGACCTCTGTGGGTCATCTAGTTCAACCCTCTTGCTGAAGCAGGGTCACCTACAGCAGGCTGCACAGGACTTATCCAGGCGGGTCTTGAATATCTCCAGAGAAGGAGACTCCACAAACTCCCTTGGCAGCCTGTTCCAGGGCTCCGTCACCCTCAGAGGGAAGAAGTTCTTCCTCATGTTCAGCTGGAACTTCCTGTGCTTCAGTTTGTGCCCATTGCCCCTTGTCCTGTTGCTGGGCACTACTGAAAAGAGTCTGGCCCCGTCCTCCTGACACCCACCCTTGAGATATTTGTAAGCATAGGTCCTTAAGAGTTTGTAAGTAGGGCCGTAAGAGTTCTGGATAGTCACACTGCCCATTTCTTTCATCCGAGTGGCTTCTAGCAGATAACCCACGGGAAGGGATTGAATGTTGCGTCAGGTGGTGGACAGCCAGGTTGACCTCTAACTCCTGGGAGCTTTATTCGCTCAAAAGGCGTGGGATAAGCATCTTGCCTAAGCCCATGCACTTTCCATTCTCAGCTTGAATTGTTTAAACCTGATGCTTTTCTTTAGCCATAAGAAAGCTGAGTTTTCCCACGGTATTGAGTGGTGAGGTGCTACCCCAGCACTTCCAGGATGCATCCATACCAGTCATGCAGTGGTTTATATTGGGTTTTCTCACCTTGTGCTTAGCTTTGGATCTTTTTTGCTTCTTTTCTGTCCTATGATAAGTGATGACTCCAAAGCGGCTCAGCTGATCACTGGATCTTGTCAGGACTTTGAGATTTGCATGGTCTCACTTGGAAAGCTTCCTAACCTCCGCTTGTGGCTGGTTTTTCCCCTGTCACAGGAAGTAAAGTTGTCCAGCCCTGATTACCGGGACTGTAATTCGACCGATGCAATGGAAGACTTCATGAAGAGAATCAATTGTTACCAGGCCAGCTACCAACCACTCGACCCCGATGACTATGACCGGTAAGAAACTGTTGCTGACTTCTGAACTGGCTTGAATGCCTTGCTTCTCCCAGGGGAGCAATAATCAAGTATGGAGCTGTATTTCACTTTGTGTTCAAGTATGTGTCTGTGCTATATGGCCAAGCCTCACTGTGAATTTAGCTTCTTCCTCGAAAATGCTGGTTTCCCCCAGCCCTGTGCCAGGGAGCCAGGCACTGAAACCTTCCCAGGCTCTGCTGGGCTCGGATACGTTGGTTCTGGTGGACTAAATACAAAAGCTTTGGAAAAGCAGTTCGGTTTGAGTGTTTCTGAGATGCTTTTGTCAGTTAAAGGAAGGAACTGCTTGAACAGGCTCAAACCACAAGGTTGGGCAAGCCCTGTGGTTTCCACCTTGTTGAGTGCCCTGGGAAGACCTTTGCTGTCCTGCATGACCATGCAGGCACTTCCCAGCCTCTCCACTGCTCACAAATAAGTGAGCCCTGCATGGACTATCCCAGTCCTGCTGAGCCCTGTCCTGGGGAGGAACATGCTCCCTGCTAGTCCTGTTTAATCCTCTTTACTGCTTAAAGGAGGAATGGTGATTACACTGGTGTCACTTAGCTGTCCATGAGTCGCCGTTACCTCTTGGCTTCCTGTTGAAAATAGCCTGCAGGAAATCCTTTTAGCTGAGTGATTATGTTGACTGAGATACCTCACAAGGCTGTTTGTCAAGGATAGTGTTTTGTTCTTTCTGCTTTCCCCACTGGCAAACCCCTCACCCTTGCTGTGCTTTTCCTAGAGAACTTTCTCTCATCAAAGTCATCGACGTTGGCCGGCGGTTCCTGGTTAACAGGGTTCAGGATCACATCCAGAGCAGGATCGTTTACTACCTGATGAACATCCATGTCCAGCCCCGCACCATTTATCTCTGTCGGCATGGCGAGAGCGAGTTCAACCTCAAGGGGAAGATTGGAGGTGACTCAGGCCTCTCCAACAGGGGCAAGAAGGTAGGGAGAAGAGAATATTCCCCTATGGCTTCTAGGAGGGATTTGGCTGTATGAGATGCCATCCATTGGGCCAAGTGTATATTCAGTGACAGCTGGGGTGCTCAGAGGATCCATCTATAGGGCTGGTTAAATTTGGGCTCGGGTGTGGCCTCAAAATAAGACTTTCCAGCCAACGATGTTGCATGTAGGCTTGCATGTAGTTAGGGGTTAACAGAGGTTGGACTGCAGAAATCTCTAGGAGAGGAGGGTATGAGTATCTTCGTGGAGTTGGTTCAGACCTTGCATAGGCAGGGTGGGATGTAGAAGGACCGCTGCGACTCTTTGGTAGGGACAGCCAGCTCCGAGGATGCTTTCAGATTGCTCACTACTTCATTCTTCAAAGACATGGTCAGACGCCCTGCTTCAGGGAGGGTTAATAGCTGTTTTGTCTTGCAAAACCATTTTGAAGTCCAAATGGAGTCATTTGAGGTGTAATTATTAATAAGGACTGCAGAATACAAGGATTTAGCTCTGTGACAAATAAGCAGAGCTGTGGTTAAGGGTGGCGAGGGATCTTCCATAGCATTGTAGGAGAGGCCGGGCTGTGATGCTGTTTCGTGGGTGCTGATGTCGTTCCTTGACGGCATTAGGCTGCTGCTTTCTCCTCTGCTGCTCTCTCTGTCAGACTCATAGCTTTTGTGGATCAGTGCCTGTGAAGCTGCTCTTCACCTCAGAGCAGAAGGCTAAAACAACTGCCTATGGGAGGCGAAAGAGGTCCTGGAGAAGGCAGTGTTTACTAGGAAGCAGGGAAGAAGGTGGCCTGCTGGGAAACTGTGCATCAGGAATCAACCTCTCTTTTTATGTCCCACAGTTTGCACTGGCACTGAACAAGTTTGTTGAGGAGCAGAACCTAAAGGACCTCAAAGTCTGGACCAGCCAACTAAAGAGGACAATCCAAACGGCAGAAGCTCTCCAACTGCCCTACGAGCAGTGGAAGGCACTCAATGAAATCGATGCTGTAAGTATCTTTGCGGTGGGAACAGCTACATCATGCTGGTTGCTGTGTGGCGGAGAGGGTGATAGCACCGGCCTTCTCACTTTTGCCTAAATCTCACCTTCTGTGGGGATATCTTCCTTCTGTGGGAAAGGGTACTTCTTCTGCTGCAGTACTCACAACTTGGCTTCTGATCTTAGTGCAGATGCTTCAAGATGTTGGCTTGAGTGAGTACATTAAAATGATTTGTGCTTGGAACTGCTTCGTAGCTGACTACTCAGACGGTTATAGACAATTGCTCTGGAGAAGACTTTGCTTGTTGGGTGTGCTAATGCTTTTTGACTTGAGCTTACCCGGTTACCTCATGGATGTCCTGTTCTGGCAGGGTGTGTGTGAAGAAATGACGTATGAAGAAATCAGGGACCAGCATCCAGAGGAATTTGCGTTACGTGATCAGGATAAATACTACTACCGCTATCCTTCTGGGGAGGTAGGTCTGCAAGGAGACCTTCAGAGATGTGACTCTTACTTTAGACGTGGTTGTCTTGTCTTCGTGCTGTCCTCTACACTGGGAGCAGCAAGTGCTCCAAGTAACTGGAATCAAGAAAGGTCAGGGCTCGTGTTTACCTTTTGTATTGAGCTCTTGTGAAATTGTGGTATATGAAGATCTTCTGAAGAAACGTATCGCTTAACAAACAGTCCCACTGACTTTATAGCAAATTAGATGAAAGGGTGATGAACTTAGGTGAAAGGGATTAGATGAACTCTGGAGGTTTGTAGTCCAAACTCTTCCATGACATCCACTAAAACTGTTGTGCTGCCCCAATTTCCTTTCTTTCACTGCCGGAGAAGTAATATCTGCCCCTGCTCTGAGTACCGTTCCCTAAGGGTTGATGTTGATAGCTCTGTTCCTGGCAAGCTGCTCTCAGGTTGTGACACAATGAAGTGGGAATTAACAGCAGTTCTGGATGATACTTTATGTTGTGAATTGGGCTTTTTATTCACAAATTAAAAGTCACGTCCATAGACATTTGGAAAAAATCTTTGGAGAAATCCTCATGACAGCACGTCCAACAGGAGAATGTTTGGGGATATCTGGCACCGACTTGTGAATTTCTGGGGTTCCTTCTGGCTGCCTGTCATGGTTCTTTATGAAGTCTTTCAAAACCCTGGAGATTTTTCAGCTTGCTCCAGACTTTTCAGAAATGAGAAATCCTGTAGAAAATCAAATTTCAAGATAATAGAGAGACACTATGCTCAAAGCCCTGTGCAGTTGCTGCTTACCTTCATAAACTCTCCAGGACTGTAACTGAGATGTGAATGGCTTCTTTATCCTCTGACCAGAAGCAGCTATGTTCTAGAGTAGCCTGAAGATGAGGATTTGATGAACTGCGCTTGTTTTTAGCGGTAACGAAGTTGGTTTAGTCAGAAGCATGTAATCAATAGATGTACCAAGACAAGGACCACTGTTTCTTGAGGTGCTCGTTTTCTTGATTCTATGCCATATCTCCCTTCCCTTCTTCTGTCTCAGTCCTACCAAGACCTGGTGCAGCGCCTAGAGCCAGTCATCATGGAGCTGGAGAGACGAGAGAACGTCCTTGTGATCTGTCACCAGGCTGTCATGCGCTGTCTCCTGGCATACTTTCTGGACAAGAGTGCAGGTGAGCTCCTTGTCACTGGGAAGGGGATTGATCCTGCTGGAGGAGGGATGACAGATGGAGCTCTGAGGAGATGAGAGATGTGTCCAGGTCCATGCAGGGCCTGGAGTGTGCATCTCTTTGGTGTGGGATGGCCTTCGCTGTTGAAGACATCTGAGCCTGCATTTGGAGAAGGGATGGGGTGACCCCTCGTGCTTTGCTTTCTCTGCAGATGAAATGCCCTACCTGAAATGTCCCCTTCACACAGTGTTGAAGCTGACGCCGGTGGCCTACGGTAAGTGGAGCCTTTCTACTAAGCATGTCAAGGGGTTTGCCTTGTACCTCCTCCTGAATCCAGGCTGCCTCTGGGCGAAGAGCAGGGGTCTGGGACAGAGTACCTTGTAGCATCCTGTGCTCATGGAGTTTGCTGATGGCTGCTCTGTCTCTTTGTGCTCCCTTCTGCAGGCTGCCGGGTGGAGTCCATCTCGCTGAACATCGAAGCTGTCAACACCCACAGGGAACGGCCGGAGGTTAGTGTTGCTTTTCCTCAGAGTTGTCCCTTGGTGTCCCCCTCTTTTCCCCTGCGGTCAACCAGCAGCGAGGATGGCTGGGTTGGGCATGAGGAGATAGCTCTGCTAGGTGCTCAAAGTGCTGCTGGAGGACTAGAGCATCAGATGGGTTCTTGCTCTGCAAAGACGTGGCCAGTCGAGGGTTTTCTGAGGGAGGAGGACTGTTACATGTCCCTGCTTCCCACTGTGTTTGCCCAGATTAAAGCTGGCCCAGGGAATGGTCCTCCCTGGTCTTTGACTTTCACCGCTGCAGTCAGGCACTCGCCTGAGCAGGGAATGGAGCCACAGATGGAGAAGGTGACTTCTCCCAGGTCTCCCAGCTGGCTGGCAGAGCCCGGGCTCAACACTTTGTCCAACATCTCCTGCCTTTGTGGTTTTTTTATTGGCGTGCCCGTGGCTCCATGGGGCTACCAGAGTGCCGTTCTGTAGGGTGGTAGGTGGCAGCGCTGGGCTGGGGATACCGCGGAGAGGAGACCCCTCGCATGGAGGAAAACCCCTGTAAGATCAGGTCCATCTGCCCCGTGCTCCACCAGGAGCTCAGAGGCCAGAACATGGGGATGCCAGCTCAGTATCAGGGCTGGGCGGCCACCCAAGGGGTCACCAGGGACCCTGGCAGTGCCCATGTCCCAGCTGCTGGGACCTTTCGAACTTGCACTTAATCGTGATGGACCCAATCTGGATGCTGGACAGTCGGAGCTGTCCTCTGATGGCCCACACCTCCTTTCCTTCGCTTCCCGACCTCAGCAGGCGGCAGCATCTGAGCCGTCTCTCCCTCACTGTGGCCATAGGAGGGGAAGCCGGTCCTTCCCCGGGCCCTGGGTACTATCGATGCCCTTCTCCACCACCCTCGCTGGGGTTGGCAGGAGAGCCGTGGGTAGGACGGAACAAGACATGTGCAAAGCGCTTGGGTCCCTCTGCTCGGCTGCGTGGACACTGCCCCTCCATCCCACCTTGCTTGCGCTGGAGTGAGTGCCGACCCTTGCTGGCTGCTCTGCCCCCGCTTCCCAAATCTTCCTTATCAGCCCGGGCTGGCTCATCCTTACTCTTCTTGCTTTCACACCCCTCCCTGGGTCGGAGGGACCAGCTTCGAGGAGGAGACCGATGGGCGTCTCTCTCTGTCATGAAAATTCATGTCTTTTCGTTACCACTACAGGTTTTTTAGCAATCTGTGTCTACTTTTTTTGTAGGCGCAGGTGAGGAGAATGTCTGTCTCATTTCTGAGTGCAGGGCCTTCTTGGTTGTTTTTTTTTTCCTCCCCTTCTTGGGAAATCACGCTGCGTTCTTGAACATTTTGCATTAGGGGTTTTTTTGGGTGTCCAGAGCCTTGCAGTTTATCCTTTGCACGTCAACAGCAATTGTGGGGAAAAGCAGAGGCCGCTTTAATACAAAAAACCCAAAACAACCTGCTTCTTTTTTTTTCTTTATAACTGTTGTCTTCTTCCCTTTTTTTTTTTATTTTCTTTTATTTTTTTATTTACTTTTTTTTTCTTTGTCTCACTTTAATTTAGGAAGCAAAGAAGGGACCTAACCCGCTCATGAGACGTAATAGCGTTACCCCTCTAGCAAGCCCAGAGCCCACCAAAAAACCTCGCATCAACAGCTTTGAGGAGCATGTGGCTGTTTCTTCCGCCCTGCCAGGCTGTGTTCCTCAGGAAGTGCCCACGCAGCTGCCGGGACAAGTTAGTTGAACTCTTTTTTTTGTTGTTGTTGTTGTTTTATTGTTTGTTGTCCTCCTGTCGCTCCTGAAGCTGGGGAATGGCTTGCACTTGTCACAACCTGTGCTGCTGTCTCTGAGATGCATCTTTCTCCCACGGCTGCTGTCCCTCCCTGCCTCGGGTTGGTTTGGGGAGCACCCGGCGAAAGGTCGTTGTTGATCCTTTCTTGAGTTTTGAGAACGTCGTAAGCTCCCTTCAAAGCTCCAGGCTGCATTAGTTCAGTGCCTTCGCCATCTGGCATCATGGTTTCAGCCTCCTGAGGAGCCACATCTCTAGAGCGGACAGGACCAAAGGGCTCATGCCTTCCCCCTGGATGTGCTCAGCTCTGGCGTAGACCTTGGCATTGCAATAAAGCAAATGTTCTTGTGCTTCCCTCGAGAAGGAGCTGCCAGGACTCATCTTTGGCTGGAGGTGTTCTCTTCGTTCCTGGAGCAATAGGCAAAACGGACCAAAAATGAGTAGAAGCCTCTTGGCATGGTGAACCTAGTTGCCTTCTGCAACCCTGGGTGAAACCCTGTGGGTAGCTGCCGTGATGCTCATGTGTCTTCTCCTCTTTCACCAATGTGTGAAAGGGTGTAGAAAGAGAGACCTTGGTTGCTGCACACTTCTCCAGGAACACTCCCTGTGCTCGTGAAGGAGCTGGGGTGGTACTGAAGAAGCAGCATTGCTCTACAGGAGCCCCTTCTCCTTGCTACCCTTCCTACCAGCTGCCTGTTGGATCTTGCTGTCTCGCCCAGCCTTTCTTCATGGTGTCTGTGTTGTCTGGTGTCCTCTCAACCCTCCTTGGCCAGGTCCCGGGCAGGTTAGGAAGAGTGCCATGCTCCTCCAACCGCTCTGCTTGGTGGACACTTCGCATGAGCCTTCCCACCCCAGCAAGCACCGAGCATGGCAGCTCGGTCTGTCTGTCAGCTTTCGGGGCTCTACTTGGGCTGGTTGAGTCTTGCAACAAACCCTCCGCCAGCTTCAGCTTTGGAAGCTCTCGCTCTTTGGGTGCCCTCGCTGCCGTCCAGTGTCCTCTGCCTGGTCTCGCGCGGCGTTACTGACACCTCTTTCCATTCTCTCCGTCTCTCTGCAGCCTTTACTAGGGAAGGCATGCCTGTAAGTACCTTCTTGCGTCTTCTTCCCCCTTTTGCCCCCTTTCCATGTCTCTTGCCATCCCACCAGTTATTTTGTTGTTGATGTGAAACCCGGCTGGGGCATGGACTTCTTGGAGTTAGTATTTCTGTGTGTGATGGGTGGGGATTTGGATGAGTCTTAGGAAAGCTGAAGAGGAGACTATGGATACTGCTTTGTCCAACCCCTAAATATCCTAGTTTGATTTAATGTCCCAATTTTGTTGAGAAGTGAAGCAAATAATCACTTGCCCTCTGTTGATGAGGTCTGAACTCCCTGCGCCCTCCTTGGACAATTACAGGATGGGAGATGCTGTTGGGTTTTCTTGGAGTTATCTCCTCTGCGATAGCACGTTGTACTGTAGGTGGTAGACCTAGGTGGTCTGTCTAGATGCTTTGGGCAGAGGGGGTGCAAGCATATTGTCCTCTAGCTCTAGTAAGAAAGCAAGATGCCTTGAGCTTTAATTATAAATAATCAAGGCTTTGAGAGTTTGGCTCGGTGCTGTTAGAACCTTGTGTAATAGGGACAGGACAACTTCTGGATGAGTTTGAAGCCTTTGGACTTAATTCATGCTACATCATTGAGTTGAGCGCAGCAGCTGTTGGCAGCTGTGCTCAAATGTCTTCTCATAGAGCAAGGAGACTTTGGGGGGCTGAGCTGAGGCTGGGGTAATGCCCAGGGGTCTTTTTGCCCTCAGTAGACCAGTTGATATCAGCCTACGTGTATCCCTGTCCTGGTTCATTTTGTGGGCTGAAGATGGAGAAACGTGCTATAACATGGCCAGGCCTCAGCCTTGCTTGCATGTGACAGCTGGTGAATCTCATGTTTCTTCCCCTTTTAGAGCAAATGTTTTTGAGAAAAGGGAAGTTAGGAAGGTCACTCTTGGCTTTGCTGGTGGACAGGTTAGGGGAGATCATCATGCTTATGGGCGAATGTAGAGGTTGAGTTGCTCAGCATGGCCTGCATGTCTGTGCTCCTTCCCTTGCTGCTCATGGGCATCTTATGAAGTGCCTGGTCTTCTCGGGTTGCTTTGAAGGCATTTTTGTTTCTTCATTCATCCCTTCATCCACCTTTTTCCCATCCATGTTGTAATAAAAAGCACTGCATGCCTCAGTGCTGGCTGGGACGAGGAAAACACACTCCGATGTTGGGTTTGGGAGATAGCTGCATCAAGTTTTGCTAGACCAGGTGCTCTGCTGGAGGGAGCAGACAGTGATGGTTGCCTATCCCAGCTGTAGGCTGGCAGCAGTGAGTTTAAAATCTCCAGCTGCTGGGAACCTGCCTCTATCTACTAATGTGGAACTGAAAGGCTGCTTCTGAGGGAGCGGAGACACCCCAAACCAAAGACTTTGTGTCAGTACCTCTCTTGGAGGCTGACATCTCATATGTATGTACATGTGTCTGGTCCTCACTACGTCCCACCACTATTCGTTGAAGGTATCTCCTTCCCAGTTTGCACTATGGGACTTGGTTGGCAGTGGGTGCTTTGTTGCATCAGCCCTCACTGTTGGGGGTTTGACCCCCATCCAGGGAGGAACAGGGGACATCTGGAGAGGTTGGGGATGTGGCTGTGTGCCTGAGAGTCCTCCTGGCTGTGGGTTTGAGCTGGTTTGGGGTTGCGGGACTACCTGGCGTGACGATTTCTTTTCCTTTTGCTTGGCTTGTGATCCAAAGTGCACTTTTTAACAACGACCTGATCCCCTCCCTTCTTCTCCCCTTCACTTTTCATGCTTAAAGACGACCCGTTTGTCACTTTCTCAAAGTTTTCTCTTTACTAATATTTCCAAGGTAAATGGCTGTGGTGCATGTGGCTTTCCCTAACCCTCCTCCTGTCTCCTTAGATAACAGAGAACAGCTTAGCCTGCTCTGCCTCGTAGCCTGGCCAAGGTTCCTGGTGCTTGTAAGAGGCAGTTTAGGTAGTAAAAGCAAAAAAAGCTCAAAAAAAAAAAAAAAAGTTGAGAAACGTTCCTAGCTGTTTCCTAGTCCTTTTTTCCCCACCCTGTTTCGTGTAGTTTTGTGAGTTGGGAAATGTCCTTGTTGTGACCATCTCCCCTTGGGTTTCTCCTGTAGTGGATGCTCTCCTTCAGGAGCCACCCTCGGGGCTGGTCCTGCTGGTGTTTAGCTGGTCATCTCTGGTTTTGTGGTCCTCACCACACAGTGGTGGGGACCCGTTGTCGCTGCCCCGCACCAGGGCTGTGTCTGAAGCAGCTCCAAGGCCTGTGAAACCTCATGGGGTGGGTGTCGGGGGGAGCGGGGGGCCCTGCCATACCGCTGGTGGTGGCTGGGCCCCATGCCAGTTCCTCAGCACGGCTGGTGGGAGCTGCCTCTTCTTGGCAGTGCCAAGGATGGACAAACAGTGATCTCCTCCTTGGTAGGCAAAGGACACTGCCCACCTTCAAGGGGAGTGAGAGAGAGAGATGTTTAATTGGGCTCCTTGAATGAACACCGTGGTCCTCTGTCACCTTGCCTTGCATGGACTAAAGAGCAGCTTCAGAAGTCTAGACCGGGTCGGGTGGGAGGGTTGCCTTATTTTTTAGCTCTATTTTTAGGGGTATCTTGGTCAAATTTCCACCCTGTAGTTAAAGCCAGGTGATGCTTGAGTGGAGGGGCGTGGGTGTAGCAAGTCAGTGCATCTCCCTTCACCTCTCTCCTTGGGTGGGCAGTGTCCTCTCCTCTGTGGTGGGTACTTTCATAGTGACCCATACCGTGGCTTTCTGTTACTCCCTTTTTTCCCTCTTGATGTGCACGTAGAAGACACTGCTGGGATGGGGTCCAGCACGCCCTCCAACCCTGGTCCTTCCCCTCTCGTTCCAGAACATGAACAACTCGCAGAAGCCGTCGTGACTCCGTTGGCGCTGTCGCGACGCCAGCTTCCCATCCCATCGCCATTTCCGAAGCTTGCTTAGAAACCGGTCTCCTCCGTCTGCGGCGAGGTCGGCCCTCGGCTGTTTCTGCCCGCGCCCGTTCATCTGCAAACCGTTCTGCCGAAGGGGGGAGAGAATGCAGGAGAGCGGAGGAGAGGAGCCGAGCTCCACGGGGTCACCACCAGATCTTTAGGCTGCCGCATTTGCTCTCCTCACCGGCGTCCCGTTAGATCATAGCAAGCTGTAAAGTGCTTCTAGCGCACAGGAGTTTTATTTTTCCTCTGCAAGCGGTTTTGATCTCCTTTTGTATAGATGACTGGTACCCCATCTGCAAACCGTTCTGCCGAAGGGGGGAGAGAATGCAGGAGAGGGGAGGAGAGGAGCCGAGCTCCACGGGGTCACCACCAGATCTTTAGGCTGCCGCATTTGCTCTCCTCACCGGCGTCCCGTTAGATCATAGCAAGCTGTAAAGTGCTTCTAGCGCACAGGAGTTTTATTTTTCCTCTGCAAGCGGTTTTGATCTCCTTTTGTATAGATGACTGGTACCCATCCATCTCTGGGTGGGATGTATATATGTGGATGGTGCGGGGTTAGCAGAGAAATAAGGGGAAAGGGGGTGGGGAATGAAGGGGTTTTGCATTTTTTTATGATTATTGTTAATTACTTTTCAAGAAAGCCCCTAACGTGCTGTGCTGCAGTCCTTACCCATGCTGTCGCACACGCAAGCCCAGCTCACCCAGGCACCAGAAAGGCAGTTGTGTGAAGTCCTTCACAGCGAGAACTCCTGGGTTTAACCAAAAAAAAACCCACAAAAAACCCAAACCATTCTTTCTCTTTTTTTATTTTACTCAATACACCTTAAAGAGGTTTGCAGGGAATGTAGATCTGTGTCTAAAACTGGTCGCGAGCTGCCTGTGGTGTCGGAGCAGCCGCGCTTGGGTGAGACTTTCATCTCATGGGGCGCCCAGGGGTGCTCCGAGTTCAGGCGTGTGATGATTTTTTGGGGAGAATGAGCGCTGGTTGAGGTGCTGTGCCGGTACTTCATCTCCGCTTTCCTCTTCGTTGGAGGAAAGCAGAGATTTTGGAGGGGGTTTTTGAATCCCTGCATCGTCGCAGGGCTTAGCAAGTGGAGAGGCTGAGCTCAATGCGTTTTGCAGGCACACAGGTCTCGTGGAGATGGCCGGAGCCCTGGCCGGGATGCAGGAGTCTCTGTGTGGCTGCAAAAAGCCACGAGAAGGGACAGTTTTGTCTGTGTTCTCTTTTTTTATTATTATTATTTAATATATATACATGCACACACCCATGTGTGTGTATATGTGTATACCTAGAGACCGCTTGGTTTTTGCACTTTATTTGTGGCAGGAGCGTAACTATTTTATTTTTTTTCAAGTCGTGCCCCTTAACAGGGGAAGCCTGAATACAGGCAACTTTTCCTTTTTTTTTTTTTTTTATTTTTTAATTTTTTTTTCTGTTTTAATTTTATTTTGCATGTTGGAAATGTGGGACTACAAAAAAAAGTAGTTACAGCATTCGAGGTGTGTGTGTGTGAGGGGAAAACGGGGCGAGATCCTGACTTAGACTCCATCAGCCAACTCCCAGTGGTTTGATACGCGAGATCTCTTCTTGGCGGCCTGTCCCGGGCTGCGAGGCAGTGGTTAAAAATGGCAATTAACCACTATTTCTTTTGCAAAAGTCTGTGGATTTTTTTCTTTTTTTTCTTCTTTTTATAAGGCTTTTGGGTTGGTTGGGTTTTCTTCCCCCATTCCTATGTGCAGCGTCGTCTCCATCCCCATCTCGTCCTTTTTTGGCTGCACGGCTGAGCTGGAGACAGGTGGGGAAGGCAGCCAAGCCCTCCCACAGTGCTGGGCTGGGGGACTGGAGATGGACAACCGCTTGGTTTCATCCTTCCCGTGGCTTTCCCCAGCTCCCTGGGTAGGAAACACCATCCCTACAGACAGGAGCGGAGAGGTTTGGGGAGAAATTATTCAATTTTTCGTGTGTGTGTATGTTTTTGGGGGGTGTCAGTCTGTTTATTCCTTGGGACAAGGCGAACCACAGTGCCTAGCGCTTCAGCGTGAGCTTGTGCATGTGTGTTGTATTCCTGTACAGACAAAGCAAAGAACACTCCCCCCCCCCCCCCCCCTTTTTTTTTTTTGTTATTTAATAACCACATTAAAAGCAGACTTCTCCCTGTGCACGCAATTGACATCTACCCTTTGGTTTCTCTGACTTTGGGAAAAACAGAAGGCGAGTCGCTTGTCTCTTCAGCCCCGTTCTTGGGGAGTTTTATCTTTCTCCTTCTGCTACGGAAAGATAAGCTGGCAAATGCAAACATGACGTCTGGCTGCCCCATGGTCAATCCTGTAAACACGTAATTCTGCAGATGTTTTGGTTTGTATTTGTGTGTGTATATACATATATATATATATAAAAGAAATATATATATATGAAAAAAGAAACAACAAAAAGACTTAATGGCCCTAAACTTTCTCCTTTGGGAATAATAGAAGTCTCAGTAGGTCCTACAAAAAGATGAAATCTGAACCTGGCGTTTTTTTCCCAGCAAGGGGAGAGTTGGTCTCTGAGCAGCAGAGAGGACCTCTCGTGCTGGAGGGGTTGGCGGTGGGTGGGATGGTATCAGCCCCGTGCTGTCACACAGGTCCAGAAACTCGCTGCCCATCATTTTTGGTGAATGGAGCCAAGGACCGGGCAGAGATGCTGCAGCCGAGATGGCTGGGGAGAGGGGACTTGTCAAACCACACCAACGATTTCTTCCCCTCGCCTCTTTCTTTTTTTTTTTTTTCTTTCCTGGTTTTTTTTTCCTTTGTGTTCTTTTAATTTTTTTTTTTATTAA